GCAGGAATGGCTTTCTCCAACAACAGGAACCCCTGTAATACGGCAAATTGCAGGGGCTGCCAGAGGAAGTTTCTTGTTATTTTATTAACCCGAGACACTGAAGATGGCTGCTTTGGATTATGTAGGAAACTGAAAAAGTAGGGATCTGCTGTTCGTCCCAAGTTCTTCTGCGGTTGTGAGTCCTCAGTGAACAGCTCACTGCCGTTGGTGAGAAATCCGAGTATTTCCCATCGTAAGATGCAGTTCAAGGGATTAGTCTGATGCCATCATAACTGCTTGCATAACTTACTTCCCAATGGAGAAGTGAACAAATAGAATTTTTAAAGGAATGTTATTAAAGAGAATTTTGTGTCGTTTTTTTCCATGAAACATTTATTGAGGTTGCTGAGTGTATGTGACAGATGGTGCTCTTATGTCACATCCTATCTTTCATTCTGTTTTGCAACATGCAAGTCTTCCATGCATGCGTAATTGCATTACAACATTGTAGAAGGGGTTTTTTTCGTGTACTCACTGAAACATAAAGGAATAATCCAATGTGAGATCTTTAATGGGGGGTTGTGCTAGCAGTGCTGTTAAACTGGTTGGTGTTAATTGCTGGCTAGCCAGTCTGGTTTATGATTTTTGCCTTCTTAAAGTAAACTTCAGGTGTAAAGGAATAAGTAAGAAGTTATCATTTCATGAATATGCTGAATGCATTCAGGTAACTAGACAGATGATGTTCACTACATAATAACAAATAATAAATGCATAGAATGATTAAGAATAGTTATAATAATTAATAATAATGATACATAATAAATTAGCGTGCAAAACAAATAGTTCCCTCCCAATGAGAGCATGCAGGTACATTTAAACTTGCCAGCTTGAGTACTCTTCAGATGCCTATTATACAATTGGGTGCCTCCTCCCCACCTGGAAAGGAGATGTAGATGTTGAAATAGAAATATATTTAATAAAATAATAATAAAAAACTAGTAATAAGCTAATATTAATAACAGTTATAAAATACATAGAGTTACACTCAGCCAGTATTGTGGGGGAGTAGGCCTCAGGGTTAGGGCAGTGAACATGTCCCTCTTGAATGTCAGCCATAAAACTCCCCAATTTACAGTGAATGTGACGTTAATGGTATGAACAGTATTAACTGGTCAGCCTGGGGTCACCTTGGGGTTGACTGCCCTAGGTTTCCTCTCCCCACAGCCTCTGCACATGGTTATCTCTAGGTTGCTGAAGACCTTGAGCGCTCTGGCAACCTGCATAGCACTATTAGCTGAAACCTGTAACGAAGTTTTATCGCTTTGTTCCTATGAAATAGAGTGTTGCAGAAAACAAAGCCAACAAGCTGATGTTGTTGCTGGAATTTTTAATTTGAGACTTACCCTACTTAGAATTATTTTGACTGGTGGCTCTTGATGCCTTGTTGATTGTACGTACGCGTTCTTCCCTTGAGATGCAATTAACTTAAATGAAGGAAGTGAGGGCATCTTCCCTCATAACGCAAAAAAAGAAAGGAAACACTTAGACTAAGGCTAATACTTCCAGTCAATGCATTGTCAGTCAGTGAATCCTTTACTATCTTTAATGCTATTATAGTTGCATAAACTCATTTATGCCTTCTTTCATTGGCTTTTGAGCAATTTTCAAAAATCTAATTGACTGAATAGCTGTCCACTGCTGCTCTGGCTTGTGTAGATCAAGGCAATTCATGCTCAGGGTTGTCAGTTAATGCATTGACATGCTGTTGGTTGATTAAATAAAGTGCTGAATGTGACTGATTCTGGTCTGATTTTGCAGTGAAGCCTTAGACACAATGTTTGATTCTTTACAACGTCGGTCGAGTAAGATTGTAAACGCGTTATTTGTATTTTTGTGTGTATTCTGGGATTCTGAAAAGCATTTAATCTGAACCCTAACCTTCCAGCGTTACAGTGTGTAATATTCCAGTGGCGTTTGTAATTTCTCATAGCATCAATGTGCTCTTACTCTGACACAGCCTAAATGATGTTTCATCGTAAAATAAGTCAACCATTGCAGCGCTGGAAGTGTAAAGGCACCTATAGTGGTAATACCTGATAAGCAAAATGTGCCAGCTTGCCAGGGTAGTTATACTGCTCATGCTGTATGAAGAGCAAGAGTACATCAGAAACCAAGGGCTTTTTCCTTTTAGTAGTATAAGGTGATGTGAGTAATACAAGCCAAACTGTGTCTAAAGGAACCGAGAAGTGTGTGCGTATCGACTTCTTTATTGTGTAGAGCTGCAGATGTAAAATGCAGCGTGTAATAAGTGGTTGTTGTCAATCAACTGATAGGATGCGATGAGACAAAATGAGGAACACGTGGTGTATTTCATTCAATAACCTACTTGATTTTCCTTTGTAACAGCAATGTGGTGGTGCTGGGGTTTGGTTGGGGTTTTTGGGTGTTGGTTTTTCCTCAGGTCCTTAGAGCTTCCTTGTGCTTGCACCTTCCTTAGATGTGCATCTCTAGATGTGCAGCCTTTTGGCCTCCTGAGCGTCTGCCTTAACAGAGAGCAGCAGATGGCGTCTGTCAGGTCAGAGCAGGAGCAAGAGGCCTGATTCCTCCACCTAGTAGCTGATTTTCAAGTCCTTAATGGTGTTGCTAACAGTACTTGATATTTTGGTTGATCTGTCCATTTTTAATGGTAAAAATACATAGACAGTTTTATGGTATCCCTCTGCCATAAGAAAGACTATTTTAACGATTTCTGTATGCAAATGTGAACTTTTTTTCCACCCCCATTTCTCCCTTTATTGTTGTTCATGAGCTTCAGAGGTGTGGAGGGAATTGCGAGACAGCTAAGGAGGCAATAACAGAAGTGCAGGTGTGCTGGATATGAGTTCTTAGCCTAAGTGATAATGTATCACCACAGGTCCAGTCAGGTGGTCTGCTCAGAAGCTTAATTAGGTCTCTTACCCGCAGACATTAGAATAAGTCAATGTGGCATTGTTACTTCCCCACAGAGTTTGAAAATTATGAGAGTAAATCCCGTGGTGGTGAGGTAAAGGTTCTTCTGCTGCAGTTATGTCAGGAAACCATATGGGGAGGAGAAGAGGGGGTAAGAGGAGAGGAAGTCCCTAGAAAATGAGAGGCATGCAGCAGCTGTCTTTGTGTGAAGGAGAAAATTTGTGAAATGCAGGCCCACAAAGTTGGAGAGGGCTCTGACTTCACATATGGTCCCTCTTCACCTCTACGTATCTTCCAGTTGATTATCTATGGAACACAGGAGGTTCCACTTCAATTGGAGAAGAAACTTCTTCTCAGTGAGGGTGACAGAGCCCTGGCCCAGGCTGCCCAGAGAGGCTGTGGAGTCTCCTTCTCTGCAGACATTCAAAACCCGCCTGGACGCCTTCCTGTGTAACCTCATCTGGGTGTTCCTGCTCCGGCAGGGGGATTGGACTGGATGAGCTTTGGAGGTCCCTTCCAATCCCTAACGGTCTGGGATTCTGTGATCTTCTTCAGTTCCTGGTGGTACAGCAGGGTGCCTTGGTTTATGAATGGGGTCAGTATGCAAAGTGTTCTTTTTCGTAATAGTCCTGATACGTCTGCTTTCTTTTTGTTGTTTTTCAGCTGTATCTTGTTGGAGGATCTTTTGCACTCCGTGAATTTGCTCAGATAAGATATGATGTCCACAAACTACATGGCAAGGTAGTTGAAATGGTGTTCTTTACTTTTTAATTTCATTTTGTGTCTGTACTGTCATCTAAAGGATTGCTATGACAAGCAAACTATTGGTACTGAGGATTTGCCATTCACCACTGGGCCCTGGACTACGGCTGAGCCTCTTGGGCAGTGAGTAGTGTAGGTAGCAATAAAGGGACTGATATGATGAGGAATTCTTTACCATCTTTGAAGCAGAACAAGATAAATAATAGGAAGATTTTGTTCCATTGGTTGATTATAAGTTGCAATTCTGATTGCCGAGCAAGAAGTGCAGCACATCTAGAAGGAGGTTATTACAAAGATATTGTATCTGACTTAGACTGAGAAAACTGTTTTTTTTAAAAGGTTCTGTTTTGAAACAGTACTTGGCATTGAGGATATAAAGTTAGGCATTTTGAGGGGCTTGGCTTTGCATTGACTGAGTTAAGCTTTAACAGATACCTTTAACATTGTGCTGCATCCTGTTCTTTAAGCTCTGTGGAAGAAACAGGGGCCAGTCTTTACTCAGAATGTACTATATGGAAGAAGCCTTTCTTTAAATGAACTGGAAACCACCTGAATGAGGGACACAGCTTGCTTACTGGTGCTACTTCTACCTCCAAGTGTAACACTAGTTCCAAGTTTTGTATGAAATGACCTGAAGGGAGCATATCAGTTCAACAGAGAGCAGTGTGGGCTTGCTCTCCCTGACTTTGTTATATGCAGATCTGCAATTGTAAGGCAGAGAGGCTTTCTGGTCTCAGTGCTGCTGACTTGAAGGTGGCATGAAGCTTTTTTAAAAACTATATGGCTCTTTAGGTTACAAATTTTTGTGTAAGACTCTGGACACTATGGCTGTCTACTGTGGGAAAATCTTTGAGATCTTGAGCTGTTGAGAGTTTAGAGACCTTGTTTGGTTTTAGACACTTGTTGTGGGCCATCTAAATTACTGCAGTCATTCCTTGTTGTTCCTTGTGTTGCGTACCCAGCTGTGGCCTTTGAAGCGCCATGTGGCCCACTCCTGCTCAGTCCCGTATTTGACATAGATCACAGACAGGGGAGAATAATCTTACCATTCTTTTCTCCAGTGTTGTCTTCTGAGTAGTTGTTTTCTATCAGGCCTGGGCTTTTAGGACCAGGTGGAGTCTTTTAAGTTTTTCTCCAACCAGGTGGGGATCACAACAGGGGCAAGAATTCGCCTATTGCATTTCTGCCAGGTTTTTGGTCAGATTCATACTCAGTGAATTACATTTGGTCCCCGTGATCTACGCTGTGACCACAGCCCAGTGGAAAAAACCTGGCAATAGTTGTGCTCGCTCAGATCTATGAGGCTCCTTCTCCCAGCATTTGTAATCAAGTGAAGCATCATTGAATTAGACAGTAGTACATGAAAGCTCTGAGGGGAAGCTGCTACACCCTGGAGTTCTTAAGGTCTGAAAAGCTAAAAGAGGACGTCTGGATTCTGCTCTAACCTGTGTTACTTCAGGCTGCAGCATCTCTTCTGCGTTTTCTTTTTCTTTTTGTTATGATTTTATTTAGGAAGAGGTGAAATTTAAATAAAGAACAATGCAGTATTGACTGAGAACTAGCAACACCAACTTTGGGCTCGTTTGTTGGCAGGCAAATCAAAGCAATGTGTTCCATTAGTTTCTGTTTCTGTGCCCATAAAAATAGAGTTAAGAACCATTCTGATTCATTAAATAAGACAGCAAAAGAGATTAGAGTGTATTTTAACTCATAAAAAGAAACAAACCTAGTTTAAAATGTACATGAAACTCAGGAAAAGAACATTAAACTAAGTAATTTTAAAACACTATTGAAAATCCTGATGGTCATAACATCTGTTTAATTCCTCAGTGGTTAAAACCTATCCAAAAGTAGGCTAGGGTCTGTAATACCTGAGTGCCTGTCCCAGGCAGTGCCCATCTTTTTTGATCATGTTCGAAGGATGTGGACACGATGGTATGCACCCTTTTGTAAGCATGAGTTGTATACTGTGTTTTCTTGCTAATTCAGCTGCTCGATAGGCAGGATGTAGACTGTCTTCTTGTGGTATGTCACAGAATCAGAGAATCGCAGACAGTTAGGGATTGGAAGGGACCTCCAAAGCTCATCCAGTCCAATCCCCCTGCCGGAGCAGGAACACCCAGATGAGGTTACACAGGAAGGCGTCCAGGCGGGTTTTGAATGTCTGCAGAGAAGGAGACTCCACAACCTCTCTGGGCAGCCTGGGCCAGGGCTCTGTCACCCTCACTGAGAAGAAGTTTCTTCTCCAATTGAAGTGGAACCTCCTGTGTTCCAGTTTGTGTCCGTTACCCCTTGTCCTCTCATTGTTTGTCCCCGAGAAGAGCCTGGCTCCATCCTCGTGACACTCACCCTTTAAATATTTATAACCATGAATGAGGTCTCCCCTCAGTCTCCTCTTCTGCAAACTAAAGAGCCCCAGCTCCCTCAGCCGCTCCTCATAAGGGAGATGCTCCACTCCCTCCATCATCTTTGTAGCCCTACGCTGGACTCTCTCCAGCAGTTCCTGTCCTTCTTGAACTGAGGGGCCCAGAACTGGACACAATATTCCAGATGCGGTCTCACCAGGGCAGAGTAGAGGGGCAGGAGAACCTCTCTGCCCTACAACCACCCCCCTCCTGATACACCCCAGGGTGGCATTGGCCTTCTTGGCCACAAGGGCACAGTGCAAAACGATGATCCCTTCCCTTCAAAAGTATTTGTCCTTTGTCAGTCTAACCCTTGTGCTGAGAGGGAAACCGCATTAGTATGCAAGTTCTCAGTTGACAGTGATCTTGGGAAGGAAGTGCTACAGTAGAATTAGTGCCTGTGTTTCAGTGAGTCAGGAGTTAACTGTCACTTTGTATTCTTGTGGCTCAATGAGCAAAAGCTGCCTTGGTGATAATGCCTATGTTATTAATGTCAAACTGGCTTTTGAAGAACATTCCTTGATAAAGGAATTAAAAATTCAAGAGAAAATGGTGATTTGGGCTTTTGGGCGAGTGTTCTTTGGTGGTGATGTATTGGGGCTGAGGCGAGGATTGGGGCTGGAAGGGAGGCAGAGCCTAGAGCTGTAGCTGGAGTGGGACTGGGAAGGGGCTGCTGAAGGGTACACTGCAAAAAGAATTCTGTCCTCTTGTTCATTTGGGCCATGGCTTGGGACCTTGGGCTAAGGCTCAACCCACGTAGAGAGGCAGAGCCTAGAGCTGCAGCTGGGGAGATGCTGTTGGCATCTCAAGAACGGGTGTTTTATCCATTCAGAGGTCAGTATGTGCCCATCTCTTGCAAAAACAAGTAACATTTTGGGTACACTGTAATTTACTCAGGATACCTAAAGCAGTCTTATGCCCTCAGCACCCTGAACGTTCTGCATTTAAAGTGAACTTACGCTGAGACTCTTACTGATATAAATTCCTGTTTATGCTTGTCAGAATTCTCCTGAAGCTAATCAAGGATTTCTCCGTTATCCACGGTTGCCAAAATGTCCATTAATGGAGAACTCATTAGGTTATGTAATTGTTTCTTTTCTGGGAAGAATTTATGCAAATCAAAATTGCTTCTAGAAAGCCAGGTGTGCTTACGGGAAAACCATGTGGAATTAATGGAGAAGAAATGAACAGGTTTTTAGAGGCATCCTTCCAAATGCTTTTTATTCTCAATGGAAAACTAGGCCCTTTCTTTGCCTTACTTATTGTTGTGTATGTAATTGAATAGAGATGCTTATTTAATGAGGTTTTTTTTTTCACAGAAAAATGTTTCAAGTATATAATAATAAATTATTTTTGTTTACTGTGTGCCCATTGTCATTCAAGGCATGGCAGAGAATTGCTGATTCAGATCTAATTTTGGATTTAAGAATCTAGGGCATGTGGAATGGTCTGTACTGTTGGCTCGTAGTTACTGTAGGGGGTTGAAGAGAAGCAGCATATTAACTACCTGGGAAAATATAGGCTTTGAGCCCATCAGCAAACAATTTAGGCTTATAAAATAGAGTTTGCAGGCACCAAAACAACTTTGTTGAAGAAGTGTTATTGTGCATCAGGTTCTCAGAGTATGGGGAGGGAACAGAGCTGAGCAAGTTCCTCCATGGTAACATGCAGCAGAAGCACTTCTAGGAACGCTAAAATCTCTAGGTCATTTTGGCAGGAAACAAAGCATCAATTAGCCTTCAAGGTCTGCTAATAGTTCCTGCTGTGGGTTATGTTTGACAGTGTTACTACAAACTGTATAGATCCTGTTCACTTTGCCTTTGTCCTATGCAAAGTGAGTGCACCCCAAAAGTAAAATGCTAAGAAATGAGAGTAATAATGTTTTCTGTCTTATTGAGGCAGAAACAAACTTACTCTAATCTTACCAAGTAGAGACAGTGTAGCATCTGTGTTCAGTTCTGGGCCCCTCACTGTAAGAAGGATGTTGAGATTCTGGAGCGTGTTCAGAGCAGAGCCACAAGGATGGGGAGGGCTCTGGAGAACAAGCCTGGTGAGGAGCGGCTGAGGGAACTGGGCTTGTTTAGCCTGGAGAAGAGAAGGCTGAGGGGAGACCTCATCACCACCTACAACTGCCTCAAGGGAGCTTGTAGAGAGGTGGGTGCTGGTCTCTTCTCCCAGGTGATGGGGGATAGAACAAGGGGAAACGGCACCAAGCTGTGCCAAGGGAGGTTCAGGTTAGAGATAAGGAGGAAGTTCTGTACTGAGAGGGTCATCAGAAGCTGGCACAGGCTGCCCAGGGAGGTGGTGGAGTCACCATCCCTGGATGTGTTTAAAGAGCGGGTAGATGAGGTACTTAAGGATATGGTTTAGGGGGTAGACAGGAACGGTTGGACATGATGATCTCGGAGGTCTTTTCCAACCAAGCGATTCTGTGATTCCCTGAAATACATGTCACAAGTTCAGTCTTTTCTCTTGCATGAGTTTTATCCTTGAATCAGCTGTTGTGCATTAAAATAGATACGAACATTGTGTGGCAATCTGGGAGTCAAACTTCGAGTCAAAATGAAGATAACC